TATAATTTATAACTTTGAAGCGTTAATATTGTCTCTTCTAAACCGCATTGCCTTGCTGTTGTTAATCACTTTAGAGGTGTATTCTCACACTGTAAGCTATCTTTTGTCCAGTGTTGTCTGTTATTGTACTGCTGACTGGCTATGGTATACTTGTGTCATCAATGACTGTCCCTTTGGTGTAAAGTACATACATCAGATCAGGTGCCCTGCACTAGTGTAGATTTGCTATTTCCTTGAAAAAATACATACTAGAGTCTGACGTTTCTAGGAACAGATGGAGAGGGGCGAAGCAAAATAAAAGTAAATATATCAAATATTTCTATATTTCTATAGAGATTAAGGGGTTTAGTCAACGCATAGTATGAAACATTATGAGGTTGAGGGCGTTCCATTTAGCATAAATCAAGATTCTGTCTTTTATCCGTTTCATGTGTCGTGCGTGGTCCGTCCGTAAGCATTTTCAAGTTCTCAAAAACTCTTGGCCCAATTTTAACTTTGTTAATTATGTGATTCAAACCCATTTGGCCTGCGGGGTTGGACCAAAAACCTTTCCTCAACATCCAAATATGTTGAATTAGATACCTTTCATTGATGAAAGTCTTAAGCATTGTGAATTTCATGACCCTTAAGCCGCACAGATTTCCCTGATGATTGGGTACACTTTATAGTACTTATAACGAAATTACCTTTTGGACATAATTTGTTTAATTAACATTAGAAATAATCAAAATTGGTAAGAAACTTTGGTATAGTATGATGGTTTGATGATAAGCACTTATGCATTTAGTTGACTGCCAGGACATGATTGGGTTGGGAAGGGCGAGGCAAAAATGGTGCAAATGACAGGTTTTTTAGGTGATTTACAGAAATTGTGAATTGCATGACCCAAAGGCCTAATATTTCCCTTGAGGAGGGTTTACATTTTACGACAGTCATGTACAAAAATTACATTTTAAATCACAATTTCTTAATTATTCATTGAAAATAGGTTTAACTTGGTTCGTTATTAGTGTTAATTTACTAAATGATATTATGTGCAAATTTACTCGACTGACATGTAGGAGTGGCGTGGCCAAAATGGGTCACACTGATTTTTTTTCTAATTATTCTTCATGGATTGAAGGGTAGTATATGCTAATAATGGAAATAACTCATACCATGCTAGAATTACTGACAATAAATTTTTGGATGATGGTAAGCATATATTGGCACTGAGTGATGTTTGCAGTTATTACAGAATACGACATTAGTTGCTTAATCAAACTTTTTAATTTGATGATTCTAAGTTCTGACATTTTTACTTTCGTAGAGGCAACGTTTCTTTCTTTTTTTCATTATTATCATTATTATTATTTAACTTTATATATATCGTGAACCTATCCTTTAAACATGTGTTTTCTATTCAAACTTGGTTAGAATCTTTTATATGGGGCAGCAGTACATGTTAAGTACAGTTTACTGCTGCATATACAATGTGGTTTAAGGTAGTTTCCTTTGTTCAAAGATGATTTCTTCAGTACTGTAATTCAGTGCTTACCATGGAATTACCCCTTTCCAATACTACTTAAAGACTTAGCAGGGAATCGACCCGAGTCATGACGTTTATTATTCTTCATACTAGAAACCTTCAACTGTTTCAGATGCTCTAATATTTAACTTTAAATGTTCAAAGTTTTCAAATGATATGTCCAAATCATTTTCATTAATATTGTCATTTTAAAAATATTTTTATTTCAGTCAAAATTGCAACCTTGAATGAAGACTTAATTGTTATGTTCTTTAATGTGATCTTTTACATTTTTTTCTATCTCCCAAGATAGAAAACGTTTATCGTTTTTCTGTCCATTTCTATTTTATTATGCTTCCTTTCACTGTATCAAGTCTGACACTTTCTCATTCCCTTTTCTGATCTAGCAACATCACCAAATTCATGGTTTCTTTTTCTATAATATTCCTCATTTCTTCCCCATCAAAAGAAATTCTGAAAATGATTGCAATTTACTTGATAATTTGAATTTTTGCTTCATGAATGTGATGAATATTGTTGATATTATGTACTAGAATGATATATTACAATTTATTTATTTCCCTTCATGTCTTCTTTTATTTACATCAAAATCTTTTGTCTCATGGAGAAAAGAATGACTTTATGTCCACAATTCTTTTCTTGTTCTTAAATCAGTTAACTGTAAGGAATTATTTGGTAATGAATGATAAGACCGTTTCGTGGATAATGTAACATATCTAAATTTCTTGACTACAAAAGAATCTTTTTTCTTCCATTAAATTTTAACGTAAAAAATGCTTAATGACTTTGCTCTTGAATTAGACATTAAGAATTGTACAAAAAACCAAACAGCAAATAAAACTACACGAATTATCCCAATTATCAAACTATCATCATTCCTCAGATATGCAAAAATTTCTTGTTTTTAAAAGCACCTAAAATTTGACAATAGGGAAAATCTGAATACATTCTGCAAACATGTTATATTGTGGATATTAGTAGTTATTAGGAATTTAAATTTTGTGTTTTCCTATATTTTCTGTAATATCACTTGGTGGACATTCCTAGTTCATATAAAAATATCACGTTTTGATAATCCCAGTCTGACAAGCAAAGATGATTTTGTGTTCATTCCCAATTCTACAAAATATCACATCATAAACATTCGCGGTCCCTGAATAACTCCCCTTTGTTTGTATTAATAACTCCTGTATAACTTCGTTACATAATGGCGCTTAGGGTGCATCCCCAGTCACTTAAATATCACGATGGGTTCATTACTACAATCTAAAAAAATCAAGTTGTACTTATTCTTTGTTCATTTGAAATATTACTTTTTGAGCATTTCAAATTATCACAAATTATATGAGTACATTTTAATCCCTATAAATATCACCGAAGTTTTATAAAATGTTTCATTAAAATGAGAGAGTTAACTTAATAAGTTAGGTTAGATATATATGTCGCAAAACACGTGACTCATAAATGTCGAAAAAAAATGACATAAAACAGCACAATACTTTAAGAATAAAAGAATAACAAAGACAAAATGAATGAAGAAGAAACATCATTCATGAAAAAATGTGAATGTGTGGAAATAACATTGAGACAAATTCTTTTTTTCAAACCAGAAAAAGTTTATTTACAACTAATGCATTTAGCACAAGTCATTACAAACCACAACTAAGTACTAAGATTCTGTTCGGACCAGAACGGCTTTGAGTTCATGTATGAGTCACTTGTAAATAAAGCACTCCTGTAGGAACCTGGAAGGGCAAATAGGTGCATTATAGGGAAGATATTGTAATTTGTATTCTGTTGATTTAGCGACAAAAATTTCGATTGAAGATAAAGGTCCAAGTAATCCGAGCTAGGGAACAACTTGTATAAAAAAGACACAATACATTTAAGCATGCTTGAAAAGAAAGAAGACTTGTTTACTCTCTATATATATCTAGTTCATTATTATTTTTTAAAAACAACGGTCTTGTAAATCTTTACATGTTTATAAAAAACAAATATACAAAATTAATAAATAAAATTACGACACCAAATTCAAAGTTCATTGTGTAATAAATATCGTGATTTTTGTCGTCAATGACTACTATCAGATTATTATTTTCAAATGCTATGAGTAGAACATTTGTTTGACCTAGGTCAATTATTAAATTGTCGGCATAAGTATAGAAGTGATTTTTATATATGTTCGTTTGTCCTGTCGATTGTTGTTATTTTTGCATGGTCTCGTGTTTCCGATCTCCGAGCGTTTAATATGCAAATAATGTTTACAACAAGCTTACCATTCATAAACATGTTTCAGTTCCATACTACTGAGTTATAACCTATCCGGTTGACTGTACCTCACGCATACAGATACACTTACAATACGAGTCATTCCTAAATATTTACATATGTAGATATAGTTGTTAGCCACGCCCCTTATCTAGTACACATAACTCTGTAGATGTGTGACCTATTGACTAACCCTTAGCCTCAGCGATCCCAGTACCTACACATCCGCCATGCCATAGATTTCGCCTTACATCGGACAATATGTATTAAGGTATCTAGTGGACTTGGGCCACCAGATACACTGGATGTAAACCCCCTGGGTAAGTACACGGACACTTCTAAAGTGACCTCTTCGACATTAGTGTACTGATAAATGTCCAGTATATGAGCACCGTACACCGTGTATGACCTGACCCGCAGTTAACTTTTCCGCCTAGATGACCACACATTCTAACCTGTGCTTTTGATAAAGTGGAGATGTTTACAATGTTGAAACACTCCGTCACTATGGTAATATCGGACGTATTTTAAATTTTTGACACAGAACGGGTTATTTCCCGAACATGGTCAAGATTGGGTGATTACTGTAGCTTTAGTCAGGGATCGCCACGCTAAGGGCCGTTCTTAGTGAAGGAGGTATCTCTCACACACGTACTAGAGATCGTGTAACACACGTTCGTCACTTGTGTAGGCCTGGATCCGGCTTTGTGCTTATCACTTCTGCGTAGGCTCTGCTCGTTGGTATATGGAAGTTACATTCCCCGATATTATTTAACATAATGACAACCACATACCGTTTCGAAGGTTTTTTTCCCAGTTGTGTGTTTTCTTTCGTACATTAGAACGAGGCTGTAGCCTGGTACCCTCCCCTTCGCCGTATTGCCTTACGCAACCTGGACTTAACTGACCAATGGGGGCGATGTTTGTGCACTTTAACGGCATGAATGAAAAGAATGGACATGCCCCGCAAACCAGTTGTGATGGTCTGATTGGTTAGTTAATTTGAGATTACGTGAAATGCCAAATGGTGTGGATAAAGTTAGCTAGCGTCACCTAAGGTCATGGACAAGCTCAAACGGGCGTTTGGGGATGTTTGGCAACCAAAATGTTATTACATATTTGGCAAAAACACACTTGTAGTTCAAGGACAGCTGGATAATCGCAATTACCGTGGAATTTCTACAGAATGGTAATGAGTATTCTTGCAAGGAACGTCAGATACTTGGTTTTGCTCTTACATTTGAACCCGGTATGTATTTGTATGTATTTTAATGACTCATGTGCATAACACTCGATGGCTGAGTTGAGCCTAACTCAAAGACCTTATTGTGTGTAATGAATGTGATATAAACAAACTATACACGGGTGAAATGGCATCCGGGGACTCATGTCCTATAGTCATATCAACAAGTGTATTGTTGTTGTCGTAGTGTCACGTTCATGGTTGGCCATATTGTATACATTGTTATGATTTTATTTCTGAGAAAAATACAAAGTATTGTTCAGTCATATAGATGTATAAAAATACATTCAATCTGATTTTATCCGATTCTTTTTCGGTATGTTGTAGGACAGATGTTTAAGAAAGAAACAAGCGTGAAAGATAATTCTTAGCAAAGGGCGAACCACATGCGATGGCTGAGAATGGTACAACGCATAATAACAGGGAGATACAACATGCCGATAATCACAACCGCCATAATGACGTCTTGGAGCACGAGGAGGTCATGCGCAATGGCCATATGCAAATCGCCATTAAACAGGAGTCCAAGTACAGTAGTTACTCCTCGGAGGATTCAGAAGATTCCCCCTTAGATTTTTCGTGTAAGAAAAGAAAGTTCGATGAGCATGATACCTCTGGAAGAGAGTCTATTCCGTCTTCTTCATCAAATGCTGATTCTTCGAGTTTGGCAGACGACAGGAAATCTTCCGATCCAGAAGATGGGATGTTTTTTAATGGGATGTTACACAATCGGGATTTATTAGACAAGCAGATTGAACCGGGGGAAATCAAGCACCCCATAGAGAGATGCTCTCCAGGAACCACCTCGGGATTGGCAGGTATGATGTCTAAAATTCATGCAGGCTTCATGTCCCCAACACATCTTCTAGGGGGAGTGTTTCCTAACAGCTTGGTGGACCCAAGGGTACCACAACAAAATGGTTCTAGACCGTTCAAGGCTTACCCGAAGGATCCTCTTTCACTTTCAATGGGTGCATATGGCCTCTCCAATGGCTTGTCTCCCTTTCACGGAATCGATGGAAGTATGTTACAGGCATTGAACATAACTGGGGAAGAGTTTATGGAAATGTACAAAAAACAATTACAATCATTGAGAGACAGAGATCATAACGGTAGTAATGGGGGAAACTATTCTGAGTCAACATCAAAATCGTCCACACATGCCAGTCTCCCATCATCATCAGTCATTAACACAAACAATAGTAGTTTTTCGAACGGCAGCATGAACAGTAGCCCCACCATTGGTAATTCCCCACCGTCGTTTCCAGTGCCTAGTTCAAGTGTTAATATGGAAATAACGGCAACGGGTAGGAAACGACCCAAAACCTTGCCCGAGGAGCAGAAAGATGAAGCTTACTGGGAAAGGAGAAGAAAGAACAACGATGCAGCAAAGAGGTCACGGGATGCAAGGAGAGCAAAAGAGGATCAGATTGCAATCAGAGCAGCATTGTTGGAACAGGAAAATCTTAAACTTCGTGTAGAAGTTGCAGCTCTAAAAACTGAAACTGCAAAGCTCAGGTGTATGTTATATAACAGCTAAAATTCCTGGATTGATAAAAAATCCTCCCTTCTGTGTAGCTTGTTTTAAATCATGCAAATTGATCTACCTCAATCTTTTTTACTCAGGTTAAGTTTATACAGATGAGAGCAACTCAGGTATGTAAATAAATGTTTTTTATTTACAAAATTACGAAATGATATAAGAAAATAATGAAAATATTGTTGTCAGAAATGCTGAATTTTATATCACATACTCATATCCGTGATTATCGTCATTAGTGATTGGCAGCTTCCCGTTCATTGCAAGCTACTACTACAGCAGTTTGTTGAACGTTATAGCCTCCCTCCAGTTGGTCTCTAAGGACAGGAGGTATAGTTAACTACTGTTTTATTCACTACTGTTCACCACACACATTTATATTGTTAATATAATGACCAGTTTTTATATCCATTCACTTGATGATGACTGTTCATGTGCATTGTAATGGTTTCTTGGACAAAAGTAACATTGATGTTTACGTAATATGCATAGCATTAATATGTAATTTCAACAGGTAAATTCTTTCAGGTTTAAGTGTAATGTAGATTTGTGATTCGACCTGATCAATCGTTCACTGAGTAGGCTTTGACCACGTAGATACTCTATTTACTGTATATCCTATGATGCGTAGCATTCACTCCAACATGGCGAGTCACGTGTTATACAAGGAGTGTCGCTAGTCATTAACTTTGTATGAGGCGCGTGGTGGCATCGATGGGGGATCTTTGTTGGCACTAATGTATCATTTGAAGTTTTTTTTTCTAATTAACGAAAACGAAGTTTAACGTAAGGCAACCTATTGAATATTAAACGTGAATGATTGTATGAGACATTTGGTAATCTCATTGATTTTATTACACTTAGTAAATATAAATAATTTCTTTATTTGAACTATCATTTGTTCCTTAAAATGTTTAATAAATTTGTAGATCTATCGAATAAAACACGAGCATAAGACGTATAAATGCATCGTGGGCGGTTTGTAGGGGGGTCCATATTCTAGTGTGGTGTGTGTTATTGAATAGGACATCTTGTATATTTTACAACTTTAAATTCATTTGCAAAGCGGGTCGAAGAGTAAAAATGATAATATAAGTGGCGAACCAGTGAATATATATCGACAGTTCATACGAGAGAGAGCGAGTGTGAGTGTTGAATTACTGCATATTTATGTTATCTATCTATAAAATGCAAGCAAAGTGCTAACATAGAGTTTAATGAATTAGAATGAAAAGGATATGCATGCAAAGTGCTAGATGTTGTTGTGAAAGTTTTCATTAATGTTATAACAAGCTACCTCAGCTGAAAATAATGCATCGTATTGTATGACGGAGATGACGGGTAAACTTCTCAAGCTGTGGTATTCTACGTATACATATATATATATACTCTATATAACAGATATCAAATGTAACTCCAAACCATTGCAAATGATCGAATAATGCCGAATGGTTATATATTGATCTTTGAACTCTACATAAGTTAAGTTTAACATGTATCAACGTGATAATTATCATCTACCTCTTATGATGCATGTTATTTCTCAATGTTTCTATTTATGTATTTTGTCTTGTCAATATGTATACACGTGTATTCCTATTTTTAGATTACATCACAAAGAATGACTTGCTTCAGTCCCAAGTGTTACCATAAGTTCATGTTTACAATTCACTGCTAGCTTTTTCAGTTATGATATTTTTATGGAGTCTTAAATTTCTTTTTCTTTTATTATCGAAATTATTTTCAGTGCTTGGGTTTTTCAATAATACTTAAACATTGTTGTTGTTGTCTTTGAAGATTTTTAAAAGCATATATAGATCAAAAGATGCGTTACATGAAATACAAATTTCAAATTTGTCGCAGTTCAGCTGTTTAATCAATAACAGTTAAAAAAGTAATTTTCACATTATTATGCTATGTTAATGTACTCATTAGACCTCATTCATTCGGCAGCTGATAGAATACTGTCATATAACGTCAAGGTAGACAATCATATTCTCCTATCAATGGGACCCTTCATTGATGTTGGAATAATATAGCTGTGGGTATATAATAGTTTTGATAAACAAATAATTGAAAAACTGTTGCAAGTACAATCTATATTGAACAAATCAAAGTCCAAGGTAATGTGTCATGTCGTTGTCTATAAATTCCTGTATAATTTAGTGTGTTTTCTTATATATATTATATATATAATTTTTTGTTAAGTATTTCTGTAAACATTTTGATGAAACTATCAGAATTTGACATTTTTAATCTTCTACCTCGTCCATGTTTATGTCATCAAGTTGTGTGTGCGAGCGCGCGTGTGTGAAGGTGTGTGTGTGTGTGATTTTTTTTTATGTTTCATATTATATACACACTAAACGTGGTCTTGACCACACGTTCGATGGTACGGGTTTTCTTCACAGGGATACTATAAAAGTATAGATATTCCCAACTGATGACCTTATTTGTATCTCACAAACGTCAAATATTTTTTTAAGTTTAAATAAACTTCTTTTCTTTATATTTTGTGTTCACATCTGACCGAATTTCTCCGACTCTCTACCGAGCAAAAGTTCAACGGGGTGTGCTGGACAGAAAAGTTCATGAACCAAAATGGAGGATGGTTAAACATACGTAGTGATGATATTCGATGTTCGCAGGTCACAGGTTACACCTTTGCACCATAAATCGACGTGGCTAGCCGGGGTAGCTAGTTTCACTGCAACTTGTAATTTGAATGGGCGGCCTTTGTATGAAAGGTCACGCAGTTGTATGTGCCGGTTGTCCGAGGGCTGACCCGTCCTTACAACACACGCTAGCGAGTTACACTAACGCATCATGCAATATGCCTCGCCCGACTTGTCCATCCATCTATCACAGCTGTAGTTCGGAAAGAGAGAGATAATTTACTTTTGCTGCATGGGTTAGGTGCGTTACTTATCGTGCATGCTGAATGTTGGCAAGTATCCAGCGGAAAATCGATAGCAGCGGTCAGCCCAGCTACCCAGTGAAATAGAAGTGAGTCCTTAGCATTTTCTCACTGACCAACACCATTTCTCGACCGTATTGATATTATTTTGTCGGATATTGATTTAGATTGTTGACGTGGGATCGCAATATCAAGACATTTTGGTACATATATAGGCAAGGCGTCTTCTCTCATTAATTCCTTTGTTATTACGTCGATATCGAAATATGTATGTGTGTTAATATAGCACCATGACGATGTTTTAAAATTTTGATTAAAAAGGAAACCGTTGAAATACGTTTGCGACTGATTTACAAAAAGATTTATTACTTAATAAATGGTAAATACTTCTTGAAATTAAAATTGAAATAAAAAAGATTGATAAATTATGAAAAAAAACTGCATATCTTTGTTCTTATGATACTGGATTTAGCGACACTAAAAAATACTCACACAGTGCATGAACTATGAGTAATTAATTATATTATAATTTTGGTAAAAAATGAAAGAGAGCGTCATTTACTTTATATATATATATATGACAATTCAAAACAAGAAAATTTAAAGAAATGCGTTCGTGATATTGGATTTCTTTGACTACAATCATTGACACTTATATTTACAGTTGTCTAACGTTGAAATTTAGACGTGCACTTATTTATTTGACTTTTAGCTTAATATGGTACACACACGTAAGTGTTCAATTTTACTCTTTTTTGTTTATATTTGTTATTTTTTTGCATCAAGATTTTGATGTTTTTATGTTGAAAGGAATCATTTACCTTATAAATTAACTGCATTGTTAAACAGGTAAATTGTTTCTGATGCGATAATTGAATCAAATATATTTGAAATAACGATTAATGATTTGAAATCGTATTAAAAGCAAAAATAAAAAAAGCAAAATTCTTGTATTTTTAAGGATCTCGTTCTATTATTTTAATATATATTTCTTTTGATAAAATACCACATCCAAATAATATAATATGTCGTTCCTTTGCTAAGACATGTGTTATATTAATTAGTTTTAGATCAGCATTATTTTTAAAGTATCCACTTCTTTAAACATGTGACTATTGTTGTTGTACTATATTGTATATATATTGAAGGGAGAAGTCGATCATAAGTTTGTAAAACGTACAGACCAATCCCTTTGACATGTTATTTTGTCAATAAAATATGTTTAAACTCACCTAAAACTAAACAAGAACGTAGGTGATCATATTGGTTTACATTTACAAATTCCACGTAATTTTTGTGTCCGGTGATAAATTTTAATATATTAACCGTTATACACGCGTATCCATCACACGACATACAAATCGTTATTTCTACTATCTAAATTTGTTAAACTGAAACAATCCACTGTATATGATATTACTAATTTAACGGCCTGTTTTTTGGGTTGTTTTTTTTTTTTACATATTGTAATTCTTTTCCATAAAACAAAATTATAATGTTCTATTTGAAAAATCATTTTAAAAAATGCTAGTATTGAATGATTGATCATAGAATCATATTTCGTAACTTAGTAAAATTACATTGATTGATACTCTTTTAAAACAAAACAGAATGTTGAATCCTAAATCAAAACTAATTTGCTTTATAAGTTTTTTTAAACTTGATATATCAGTATTGTACAAACACGATATATGTACATGATATTATCATATTGGTGTTATATAGCATGTATATAATAAAATGTATTTCTACTTGGATACCGATTAAGTGTATAACATAATATCATTGACGTCAAATTGCATATGATAAAGTATTTTACAATATCAAGAAACATGGGCACGACAACTAGACAAATTAAGTAGTAACAATTCATTGGAATGAACCTAATGTGAATTTTGATTAATTTTCCTTTGACTAAGGTAAACATGCTTCACGGCATAGTTAAAAGTTATCCATATTTTGAGAAAATCGTGTTTCCTATCTCATTTTCCAGAAATCCATCGATAGATTCATTCTAAGTCTTTTTTATAACATTAAGCTAAACATCGTTTGGTAAAAATCGAGTGAGCAAATCAGATTTCTTTGTAGGATAACCCTGCCTTATACATATCAGTGTCAAAGAGATGGTTTATATTTAGGGATAAGTTGAAAAGTATTTAT